GCTGGCTGGGGAATTCTGGGAGTTGAAGTCCACAAGTCTCAAAGTTGCCAAGTTTGGAGACCTCTGCAATAAGGCAACCTTCCTCAACGTGATGTCCTCCAGATGCGCTGGACAAATTCCCATGTTCACCAGTCAAGGCAGGAGAAGCCTGCCTTAGGGATTAATTATAATTATAAAAGAGAAGTAGGAAGTATTTGCGAGCATTTGCGGATCAGAGGGTTTTCTCCTGTGACTCGTATTTTTTTCCATGTGTCGGCAACCTCCAGCTTATTTACCCTCTCTCTTTCTTTTTTTTTTTCCCCCACCACAGCCAAACTGCAAGACTTCAAATCCTTTTTGCTTTCTGATCCAGAGACGAAGCAGAGATTGACAGGTCTTCGGCAGCGTGTTGAAACCTTTGCCCGTGCCTTCCCTATGCCTGGCTTTGACAAACGTTGAGATTGGATTCAACCGAAGACTTGGCTAACCCATTACCCCTAGATAGCCAACAGGCTAGACATGAAGAATCCCTGAAGCCTTGTCTCTCAGGGCTTCGTCTAGTGGAGCCCTTCTTCAGAGGTGATCTCCTTGGCCATTCCCACCCCCCTCTATTCCTTATCTCCATTTTGTAATGACTCAAACAACTTACTTGGTGTAAAAGAACTTGGCTCTGATTCACAATACATGTATCGCATTATGCAGAACGACTTGTAAGAATTAAAGTGGTCCACCTCTTTCTATGAATGAAGACATTTGAACTCTTTCTGAATATTTGCTCTTGCTTTTGTCATCTCTTGCCTGCAAGTGCCTTCTGTACGTACGTGTTTCTCTGGATGTACATGCACAGCCAAAGATGTGAATGTGGATATTACCCTTGTCCATCATCGTAATCTTTCTACACAGCAACAGAAGTAGGCAGCATTATGCCTTTGTAACAATAGATCACCTCATACACACTGGATCACATCAAAGACATATGGATTTCGATCCATCATATGTAACCAACAACCAATCAACAAGGGAACCGGTGTGTTGTAATGACGAGGCAGTCGAGGTGTTTGATCATGATCAAATGAATCATGATGAACTTTATTGGAGTCTAGTCTTACATTTATACACATTTTTAGTAATCCTCTAACATTGGTTAACTTTAGTTTCTGCTCAGCTTTTGTTACTGTTTAGCATAGTAATTAACACAACTAATTATCTCTAGTTAAAGTCTAACATATGTTTACTTCCTTTCTCTAATCCTTCTTTGCATTAGTGATTTTGTTTGCCTGAGTTGTATTTGCTTTGGAACCTTCATTACCTGAGGTTTGCCATCAAGATAATAACATTCCTGCAATTACAACTCTACACCAGCGAGCTACTCAGAATTTAAATATAGCTCCAAACAAACAACCCATCATGCGATCAACTGATCACACTGGCTCACAAAACATATATAAGTTAAATTGGAATCGGACCAAAAAAATCCCACCGATGATATTTCCTAGCATGGTAACAAACGTTTGGGAACTAACTGGAAACAAGTTTGGAGAACAAACCACTGCCAAATTCTAAAACCCGAGCTGCAAGTATTTTCTATTATTTCCTATCAAGGGCCTTTCTAATTAAATCTCCTGATTTCCCATAGTTTCCAATTAGATCCTGCTGACTTTCCACAAGAAGCACCCTCTCCATCGTTGTCTTTGAGCCACTGGCATAAAAAAAATGTGTGACTTCTGATTTTGGTGACAGCGTGGAGCTATTGTGACTAGTAACCACGAAGAGGAAACACTATGCAACACCTTTGCACTTCTCTGGCTTACTGAACGCAGGTGGCCACCTATAGTAACCTATTTCTATTGTTGTTTTTTAAATAGATGTATCATGATTTAATAGTCAAAGTTTATCAGAGGACAAGCTGGTAGTCTGCACTATCTATTTAAATGGGGACAATCATCTTGCTACTATTCCCAACATTCTGGCAAGTTTGGCCTGCATTAGTCACAGGGGCTCTTTCCCAGTGTAAAACTTTGGCTAACGAAACCACAAAGAAGGGGCTCTTGAATTTTGGGAACCAGGGAATTAAGTTTGGAGCTAATGATCATCACCTTCCTCCCCTAGATGTCATCAGGTCAGTGCATCTATACCTCCTCCTCTTCCTCCTCCTCATTGGCTCATGGTAAATTACGAGGCAGCATCAGAGACCAGCAGTACAACGGAGAGGTCCCTCCACCAAGAGCCATGTGGATGGAGAAGCCAACTTGAGCCACATGTTGAGAAACAGCGTGACCCAGTGAAGGAGTTCCTCAGAAAAAGACAGCTAGCTACCACGAGGAAGTCTTGTGGAGCTTTGCAAATGGACTAATCTGTCCAGCATCTTCACAACCAGGCAAATAGAACGACTAAGGGATCCAGAACCTAAACCATAACAAATGTGCAGCTGTGGAGTAGACTTTTGCTCACTCCGACAGTGCTGAACGTCAGCTTTCAAATGGCTGTGTGCAGGGATGAGCTTCCAAAATTTTAGCAATGGGTTCTCTGCCCGGTTGCTGGGTGGGCGTGGCCATGGTGGGCATGGCCTAGTGGGCCTCTTGCACCACAGCGGGGTGTGTGTGTTTTTGCCTCCCCGGACTCTGGAGGCTTTCCTCGAGCCTCTGGGAGGACAAAAACGGCCTCCCTGGGCTCCAGAGGTTCTCTGGAAGCCAGAAATTGGCAGCGGTGGGATTCAATTTTTTTTTACTACCGGTTCTGTGGGCGTGGCTTGGTGGGTGTGGTAGGGGAAGGCTACTGTAAAATCTCCAGTCAGAGGTGGTATTGGCCGGTTCTCCGAACTACTCAAATTTTCCACTACCGGTTCTCCAGAACTGGTCGGAACCTGCTGAATCCTACCTCTGATTTCTGGCCTTCCCGAATTTCCAGGAGGCCCATTTTTTGGCCTCCCCAAGCCTCCGTGCATGCCCTGCACTTACCTGCATTAAAAAGGGGCCCACTCCTGGGAGGGTGGGCAGGGCCAGCCAGGAGTGGGATTTGGGGATTCTCCGAACTGCACAGAATCTTGGGCAGGGGCTCTCGCGAACCTCCGCGAACCCCCAGCAGCCCGCCCATGGCTGTGTGGACCCTCTGTCAAGTTGCTATCTAATCAATCAGCCATCATAAATCTGGTGTTTCCCCCCTAAGCGTTTATTGCATTTCTCAGAATTGCTACTTAACAGGGAGGTGGATAGCATCAGCCTGGCGAGACTGTGGTACAATAAAGATCCATTGGTGTAGACATCTTGTAGGCAGAACGCCACTAAATAATAACGCCCCCAAAGGAAAACTGTAGGAGTTCCTCAAATACTAGTGCATTTGTTTTTAAATGAGACATACGTGACTCTAATCCTGAATACTTTAGTTGGTCAGCATGACCTCCTCCTCACCACAAAAGAAGATATATGTGTGGAATAATCCATCTACTACTCTAAGTTGAGATTGAGGTTGATGTGACCAACTTGGGAAGAAAACAGTGGCTGCAGCAGAGTTCCGTGAGAAAGTCTTATTTTGTCCTTGAGGATCCATCAGAGAATGAAAGGGTCGGGATGATGCTATGTTACTACCCCAAAGGGACCATTTCAGATACTATGTGCTTCAAGGCACAGCTTCCAGGGGAATATTTCTGTGTCTTCCTTCCTACTCCCACCCAAGGACACAAACATTTTTATATTCTATGTATAATATTTGGAACAACACATAATGTGGGTCCTTTTGCGCCACATGGCTGGGAGAATGTGGTGTCCCATCTATTCTTCAACTTCTCAGTTAATAGTTTTGAAAGGTAAATGATCTCTTTAATATTATCCATTTTCCCCCTTGTTTTGGGGGAAGCATACTGTTTCCCTCTTATTAATAAATCAGACAACTTTATTCAAATCTAGCTTTATGGGGGAAGTTCTTAAATCACTGGAAAGCTGCAGGTTACAGTAAGTTATATTCTCTCCTCCTCCTCCCTGCGTATCCTGGAAGCTTATCCTGAAGATTAATTACTATTGCTGATGACAACTGGTGTCTTAGTTAAATTGCCCTGGTTTCAACTTCCAGATGTTCTGTTTCTTCTACTACAGCTGGCTTTGATTATGTATTTTGATACTAAGCCTGTGTGTGTGTGTGTGTGTGTGCAATGCTTGTAATCACATGATGTTGCCTGAATCTGAAGATTTGTCTTGCCTGAATGGCCATGCTGGCAATTATAATCCAACACTTATGGAGGGCGCTATAGGTTGAGGAAGACTCATAAGTCAAGGACCTACATGCTAGCAGAATATCCCTGTCATGCTAATGCAATGATTATGATCATTGCCTTGCAAAGAGTTCTTATTTGCTCATTCTATAAGGTCATCACATGCATCAAAAGTGGTTTTTTTAAAAAATTTTTTTGAAAAAGCAACTGGACTGATTTTGGAGGCAAAACAAGACGTTTTGCTTCCTATCCTGGAAGCTTCATCAACAGTATTGGATGCTGTGGGAGATGGAAAGACAGATACTGTACATAGCCATTAGGTCATCACATGGAATATTTTCAAACAATACATTTGACCATGATTAATTGAACCATGACTTAATCAATCCAATTGTGTGGATTTGTAAAACCCATTGAACTAGCAAGCTGACAAACCAGTCATGTTTTTGCATGGTAACACGAGATAGAAAATGGTTAGCTAGTTTGCAGTTCAGTGTCCTGCAAATCATTTGTTGCTTTACATTCCTTTCACTTTTACTTTCCCCCCTAAGGAAAAAAAGAGGCCAAATAATAGCAATAGTATAGCAATAGCAGTTAGACTTATATACTGCTTTACAATGCTTCACAGCCCTCTCTAAGCAGTTTACAAAGTAGCATATTGCCCCCAGCAATCTGGGTCCTCATTTTATCGACCTTGGAAGGATGGATGGCTGAGTCAACCTTGAGCTGGTCAGGATTGAACTGCTGGCAGTCAGCAGAATTAGTCTGCCATACTGCATTCTAATTACTGAGCCACCACAGCTCATTTTATAATATTGCTGATCATTCCTCATCTGTAACCTTAAGAGTGGAGCTTCTGCTTCCAGAGGTGAAATCTATTCTGCCTTATATATAAATAAAAGCCAGTGGATTTAGGATCTGTTTTAATGATTACCATCTGATGTATGTTACAGTACATCTTGATATTTGCAGCTGGATTCTGAGCCTGGCTTCACCTGTGATCACACATACCTTGAATATAATGCAGCTGTCTGCCTTCTCTTGCAGAAAAGTGGGCAACCCATTTTATAATGCAGACGCCGGTCACTTCAAATTCACAATTTCAGAATCTTCTTCAGATCCATGTGATACGATAGCTATCACTGGTTGAGTGTCCATTAGCGATCGTGGTTGAGAATGAAGAAATGGGAAATGTTTATTTCCCTGCATTCTGACTCAGATTAAACTACAACAGCTTTTTCTTTCCAAGTTTGCCATAGCAGCTTGGGATACTCAGCTAGTAAAGATGTGAGTTTCAAAGCCATTAGGGCTGAAGGTACATATGAAAATCTTGCTTTCTCAGCTGTTCAGTAGCAAAATTGCTAAAGAAATGGGAGAGTGTAGGCTGATATATATGTAACACCAACCTGACCTCCATTGTACCATCCCTGCCCCAATCCTCGATGACATTAGGGCAGAGTCCTCCCCACCTCAGCTCAGAAATTCATTATCTGTGTAATGGTCAATTTAGCACTGCAAGAGCTCATCATGACAGCCCCCATCCA